TCCCGGGTGCGGCGGGAGGCGCGGGCGGTCGGGGCGGGGAGCCGGCCTAGCTGCCGAGCTGAGGGGGAAGGAGGCCGCGGGCGGCGGCCGGGGCGCTCCTTGGGGCAGGAGGGTTGGGGGGGTAATGGTGGAAGATTCATTTTGGGTAGAGGCGGTGCCTGAGGCCGGGTGGGGTACCCAGCGGGAACCAAGCTCCACGATCACGAGTTTCTCTGCCACAGGAACCTCGTCTCCTGCCAGGTTCGCTCACGACTCCGCCTCTGAGGCTTTCACTTGGGCCCTTTCCTTCAATCAGCTAGTTTTCTAACAAAAACTTGTTCCATTTTCCTCCCCACCCAACACTTACCTTCTGGGTTTGGGTCGTGTCTTTGAGGAGAGGGATTAGTAAAAAATGGGTGGGGAAGAGGGCGAGTTTTTTGACCCTTTTTCTTGTCAAGGATTAACCGAAGTGGCTAATCCACGAGGTTGGATCCACTACCATCTTGCCTCGGATGAGGCTTTTTCCTATGTTAAAAGGAAAGGTGTTTTTCGCCTTTTAAAACCGATATTAATCCCCAAACTCTTAATTTTAACAAATGTTAAATTGAGGGCAAAAGTCATATTAGAAAATATTTGAGAAGAAATCAGTTTAAAAGTTTATAACCACTCAGGTTTATTTATAAAAAGGGAGAAATAAAGGGAATGGTAAGAAAGTGAATGTTAAACGTACTCTGTCACATAGGATACAAGCAGTTGCTGAGAGCAGGAGAAAAACTAACTGCTTTTCTTTTGCAGACTTAATGTAACTCGTAGATTGAAATTGGAATGTCAGATTTTGCATTTGGGGTCTGGTAGGGACCATGGTATGCAACACACACATATGCATGTGTTAAGTGTTTAATCCTAAGGATTTGGAGCAGTTTAAAAACTGTTAGGAACTGTGTCACACTAGATCTTTTTTAACATTAGCTCTTTTTAAGAAGAAGAGAAAGTATTACCTTATTATGGTTGCTTGGAATATAAGGCAATGTTACTGTTCAGATTGAAAAATTGTGTTTTATCAGTCAACCGTTCAAGATGGCATCCCTCAAAAATGTGTCTTATCCTGGAAGGGGATAAAGAAGGGAAACTGAGTTAGCAATGTAAACAATTTAGGGTTAGCAGTTTTTCATGTGTGGCCTGGTCACAGTACTGTTACTTGGACATGGGTAATGCTGAGAAAACTTTAGAATATTTTAAAAATGAATATGTTGAGGTGGGCTTTTTATGGCCTATTGCCCACAAACCTATAAAAAGGAACAGTTTTTCTTAATCCAGAAGAGGGCGCAAGAGAAGGCCATGTGTGTTGAGTAATTTCAGTTTCTAATCCAAAAGCCAGATTTATCAGGACTCAAGTTTTGCTGAGTCTGTTTGAAGTAGAGTTAGCATGATAGCCCTAAATAAAAGCATGCGAGGTTCTTTAATTTCTTTCAATAATTCTATAATGTTTATGTTTTCTTAAATACCTAAGCTTTAAAAAGAAAATGTATGGCACATGTTTTATATACCAACAAGGTTGCCATGGGAAAAATTTTCTGTAGTTAAATGAGAAATGGTTTTTGTTACTAAAACTTGGGGGTGGAAATGTAATGGCTTCTGAGCTGTTTTTTCGTTGTTTGGTGGTTCTGATATAAGAGCCACTAAGTATTAGTAATCTTAGGAAAAACTATTCTAGTTCACTTAAAAGTCTTTGCTTTGGTTCAACTTAGTTGGATATTTTTGTTTGTGTTGTGCATGTGTGTTTTTGGTATTTAAGATCGCTTACCTTTATTTGAGATCTTACCTTTAATTGAGATCTGGTAAGTAATGACTAATGAATGGGCCAAGGGTACAAACCATTGTTTTTAGCCAGTTAGCATTTTGAATGATTTAGGTAGTTCTTGCCTTTAGTCCAGAGTTGCATATGGGCAAAGTTATGTCTGTTAAAAATGTTGAGAGCCTCTGTTTGGGAACTTTGTGCTTTGCTAAAGAAAAAAGAACCTTTTAGGAAACATCTCTTCTTGTTTCATAGTTAGAATTTTTCCACCAAAAATTTGATTTGATTTGATTCCTATAATTGCTTTTTCAGGAGCCAAAAAATATAAATGTAGCCCTACAGAAGTTAAGAACTTTAACAAAAGTGTATTCTCTCATGGTACAAGTTTTTTTTTAAAGACGACCGGTAAGGGGATCTCAACCCTTAGCTTGGTGTTGTCAGCACCACACTCAGCCAGTGAGCAAACCGGCCATCCCTATATAGGATCCGAACCCATGGCCTTGGCGTTATCAGCACCGCACTCTCCCGAGTGAGCCACGGGGCCGGCCCATGGTACAAGTTTTTGCCTCTTACTTTTACGAATGATTATGCCTTGAGTATTTTTTCTTGAGTTATTGTCTAGAAGTTTGCACAGTAGAAGAAAATGCCTTTATTTGCCTTTTTTTTTTTTTTTTTTTTTTTTACAGCTGGGGGGTATGGGATCTGAACTGTTGACCTTGGTGTTATAAAACCGTGCTGTAACCAACTGAGCTAACTGGCCAGCCCAACTTTTTTTTTTTTTTTTTTTTTTTTTGTCTTTTTTCATGTCCGGCAACAGATCGCAACCCTCAGTGTCGCGCCCGTACCGGACCGGGACCGGCAACGGGATCGCAACCCTCGGTGTCGCACCCGCACCTCGCTCAGCCAGTGAGCGGGAACCGGTCTGTATGTGGGATCCGAACCCTTGGCGGGAGCGCAGCGAAGCGGTGCACTGTAGCAGTGCGCCACCGGGCTGGCCCCCAGCCCAACTTTTTTAATGTTCCCTACCTTTTTATCTCATATAGAATGAGTGACTTAAAATTACAGTAAACCCTATTGTGAATCTTCCCAGACTATGTTCTATTCCACATCTAGTTACTTTAGAACAATGGTTCTTGCACTCTAAAGAACTTTTGGTGTGGGTTACGTTTATTGATATTTACCGTATAGGAAGTTAAAGCAAAATTCCAAAAAAGTATTCCAACTAATGTGCCTTTTAACCTTCACAGGCCAAAAGGCTAAACGAATGAATGAAAGTGATAAAGACCAAATAACTTAGTATTCCTATTGGACCTCTGCTCTCCAAAAAGCTGCCTTTTTTGAATGTGTATCTTTCTACTGTGTATCTTTTTCTAATGATTTGACCTCAAGATGCTTTTGTGAACATTTCACAGAAAGATGACTAATATCACTATTTTAATAGTAAGAGAGTGAAAAAACCTGTTGTCGACCCAACTGAATCACCTATATTAATAGAGTTAACTGTTGATGGTGGTTGAAGGTCTTTAATTAAATCTGAATACCGTAACACTTTTTAAAAAATTGGATGTCTTTCATTGTAGTTTTGTTAGTAGATATTTTCTCACTGCATCTCTTGAGTAGGCAGTGTTGTGTAGTCATAGGAAACCAGACAGACAGGAGTTCAGATTTCTATACTTTGTGAGTTGGGCAAGTTACTTCATCTCTCTGAGAGTGTCTTGACCCAAATCTAAAATGAAGAAGATCTTTCTTGTAAGGGTTAGAAACATTAGTACATAAGAGATTTGGTTTTAGGTATTAATTATATGATCTAATGTCTGGGAAATGTCAAAATGAATGTAAGACTACTATAGAAAAGGCTCACAAGTGTTAGATTTTTGTCGGATAGAGGCAGTGGAAATAGATTATGGTGACCACCAGTCATTTATGGTTTCATGGAAATGAAGTCTTTAATTTCCATATAGTAATTACTGTATCAATAAAAGTTGGTTTTTGCCCAGAGGGTAGCTCTGCCCTTAATTGTGAAGAAAATTTTATAACAGCCTTGTGAGAATGATGGGTAGCTTGATTCTGTTAGATGAGAAGTGTTATGGCATGCTGTTTAAGAGGGCATGTTCACTCTGACCTCAGACTTCGGTTTGAATCATGGTTCAGTTCTGTTTCTTGCTTTGCTTAGCAGTAGATTCCATTTCCTAATCTTTAAAATTGAGCTGACAAGTGTCTTCTCGCAAAGATGTGAAATAGCATATGAAGCTGCAGCACATAGCGTAGTGTCAGGCATATAGTAAATAATCAGTCCTTAAATGTTGGGTACTACTGTAATTTACATGTTGTGATTTTTAAAAACCTTTTTCTTTTCCTCCCCTAGGCTATGGTGAACTAAATGGGAATGCTGGAGAAAGAGAAATATCTTTAAAGAGCCTGGGTTCTGATGAAGCTACCAACCCTATTTCCAGGGTCCTCAATGGCAACCAACAAGTTGTAGACACTAGCCTGAAGCAGACTGTAAAGGCCAGCACCTTTGGGAAAGCAGGAATTAAAACCAAGAATTTCATTCAGAAAAACAGTATGGACAAAAAGAATGGGAAGTCTTATGAAAATAAATCTGGAGAGAACCAGTCTGTAGATAAGACCGATACTGTAGCAATTCCAAATGGTGTTATAACAAGTAATTCTGGCTATATTACTAATGGTTATATGGGCAGAGGTGCAGATAATGATGGTAGTGGATCTGAGAGCGGATATACCACTCCTAAAAAAAGGAAAGCTAGGCGCAATAGTGCCAAGGGTTGTGAAAACCTTAATCTAGTACAGGACAAAATAATGCAACAAGAAACCAGTGTCCCAACCTTAAAACAGGGACTTGAAACTTTCAAGCCTGACTATAGTGAACAAAAGGGAAATCGAGTAGATGGTTCGAAGCCCATTTGGAAGTATGAAACTGGGCCTGGAGGTACAAGTCGAGGAAAACCTGCTGTAGGTGATATGCTTCGGAAAAGCTCAGATGTTAAACTTGGCGTGAGCAGCAAAAAGTTTGATGATCGGCCCAAAGGAAAGCATGCTTCAGCTGTTGCTTCCAAAGAGGACTCGTGGACCCTATTTAAACCACCCCCAGTTTTTCCAGTGGACAATAGCAGTGCTAAAATAGTTCCTAAAATAAGTTATGCAAGTAAAGTTAAGGAAAACCTCAACAAAACTATACAGAACTCCTCTGTGTCACCATCTTCATCCTCATCCTCTTCGTCATCTACCGGGGAGACTCAGACCCAATCTTCAAGTCGGTTATCCCAGGTCCCTATGTCAGCGCTGAAATCTGTTACTTCTGCCAACTTTTCTAATGGGCCTATTTTAGGAGGGACTGATGCAAGTGTGTATCCTCCAGGGGGTCAGCCACTGCTAACTACTGCTGCTAATACTCTAACACCCATCTCTTCTGGGACTGATTCAGTTCTCCAGGACATGAGTCTAACTTCAGCAGCTGTTGAACAAATTAAATCTAGCCTTTTTATCTACCCTTCAAATATGCAAACTGTGCTGTTGAGCACAGCACAAGTAGATCTGCCCTCTCAGACAGATCAGCAAAACCTGGGGGATATCTTCCAGAATCAGTGGGGTTTGTCGTTTATAAATGAGCCCAGTGCTGGCCCTGAGACTGTTATTGGGAAGTCATCAGATCATAAAGTGATGGAGGTGACATTTCAAGGAGAATATCCTGCCACTTTGGTTTCACAGGGTGCTGAAATAATCCCCTCAGGAACTGAGCATCCTGTGTTTCCCAAGGCTTATGAACTGGAGAAACGGACTAGTCCTCAAGTTCTGGGTAGCATTCTAAAATCTGGGACTACTAGTGAGAGTGGAGCCTTATCCTTGGAACCCAGTCATATAGGTGACCTGCAAAAAGCAGACACCAGTAGTCAAGGTGCTTTAGTGTTTCTCTCAAAGGACTACGAGATAGAAAATCAAAATCCTCTGGCCTCTCCCACGAACACTTTGTTAGGCTCCGCCAAAGAACAGAGATACCAGAGAGGCCTAGAAAGGAATGATAGCTGGGGTTCTTTTGACCTGAGGGCTGCTATTGTATATCACACTAAAGGTAACTCATTTGTTTCCTATACAAAGATTCTTATTGGCCAGTTTATTATATATTAGTTATTTATATTAAGAATGAATTTTGGCAATTCTACTATGAGATTCTCTTTAAAACTGTCAGAGCTTAGTTGAGAATGACAATGTGGATAAGTAGCTAGCATCAAACTCCTTTAATACAGAATCATTGGAAACAGTATGGTTAAAGTTTAGAAATGTTTACTTTTCCAACTTAAAAGCATTTCTTTTTATATAGACAGATAGAATTGACCTGCCTGGTTTCGAGAATAAAGAGAGGTGGGGTGGGAGGGAATTGGCTAATGGGGTGATGTTATATTTTCTTTTGAACACTCTTAAGAGTTCTTTTAAAAAATGTTTTTCTTTGAACAGATGTTCCCTCTCCTTTGCTTTTTATATCGTATACTTCTTTATTAGTGAGCTCATTTAGTAGTTCTAATTTGCTTAAAATAAGTAGAAGCGGTGTTTTTGAGGATGCGGCAAACTATTTTTTCTCTTGTGAGAGAGAATAATGGATGCCAAATGGAAAATAATTTAGACAGACTACAACAGCAACCACGATTAGCACTGTAGAGAGACCAGGCTCTTGTGACCCCGTACTTTTCATAGCCCTAAAGCCCATGTAAAAGAAAACAGATCTATTTCAAGTTCCACACTAATAACTTTCTTAGAATACGGGTTGTGTCTTAGAAAAACTTTCTATATGGCATAAATGTAATTTAAATCCTTAGAGCAAATAATGAGGTTTAATGAATGATGTTATAACCTTTTGCTTTTGAGAACAGTGGTTTTCACTCTTCCTACCTCTTCCACCTGCATCTCCCCTCCTTCCTACCTCTTCCACCTGCATCTCCCCTCCTTCCCCTCCATACCCCATGCATGCATGCACAAAGCTAATATATATACTGCACATTCCCATTTTTAACAGTTCATTTAGGCAGTGATTTGAAACTGCAGGGAAGGGGAAGCATATCACATTGTGGAGATGAGGTAATTACCATATTTTCCTTGGAAGAAATCATTGCCTCAGAGATGAATAATAAAGCTATTTATGTGACATTTGAGCAAATTATCTAGTCTCCATACCTTTCCTTATCTGCAAACTGGAAGACATTTAGTATGATAAACAAATGTCCTTTTCATATTATTTTCCCTCCTTTAAAAAATGGGAGTAAGTACTAGAATTGCCTTACAGAAGTTTTGAGTAGGAATCCTGGCAGATAAAATTTACCTGTCTTCACTTGTTCTCCAGTTCTGCTCTTTGAAAGTAAATAGAAGTTAACCAGGAACTGGATGTTTTTAGGAAAGTTAGGGTAAAAAAAAAATGCTTAGTTTCTTAAGACATGGTTAATTATAAGTTAAATTCCACCAAGAGATTTGGGTGGTTTTGGTCTTATTTTCTGTGCCATCTATCCTCCAGAGCCTATTATTAGAAAGTGTTTACCAAAGCATCTTATACTGATGGTCATTGTGTGAGCCTGAGAAGATACCTGGTTGTGTTGTTTTCCTGCCACTTCCAAAAAAATTGTGTGATATATTCCATTAGGTGGTTGGTTGATGGTTTTATGTATGATTTTTATTATGTAGGCCTATTAAAATGGGAGTATTGTAATTTTTTCTGTTACTCTATGCATTTTCCTTATAGATGGCCTAACTAAATATGAAATTAATGATAATTTAGATATACTAAATGTCCCTACAGATGCATTGGTTTAGTTTTGCTGGTGTTACTAGAAAGATGTGCTTTAACAAAGTACGTCAGTTTGAATTTTGTAGTTGGACATTATTGACATTAATCAGATTAGTATTGATTGGTTTTTTCCTCCTTAAAACGATAGATAATATTCAGTTCAGTTAGGTCCTAGAGTGGCAAGTTGTTTGAATTCCTGCCAAATGTTGATTGGTCCATCAGTGGTCCATTGGCTCACTAATTTTCTTTTTATTTACATGTGTTGTGAATTACAACCTTTTGAAGATCTGAAAGTATTTTTTATTTTGTTTTGGTTTTCTTACACTCTAAAAGAGGTAATAGTCCGTTGGGCTTATTGGGATATCCTTTAAGAGCACCTGTATTCTTTTCTTAGTCCTTTAGTGTAATCTTTTCTTTAAAAATTCAGTAATAATCTCGTACTGAGTGAGTGAGTTGAAGTTAGGCATAGAATTGGAAGTTCTGTGCATTTCTCCTAACTTCAAGAATAAGCCTTTCAACAAGTTAGTTTGGAAATAGTAGGTAGGAGGATGCATTGTGTCACTTCAGTAGGAATGGTGCATTTTTAAGATTTAACATTGATTACTTGCAGCCTTAGAAGTACTGCAGATTTTTAAAAATCTTAATGTTTAGCACAGTTGAGGATATGAAATGAAGATACAACAAAACATAATAATATGGCTGCTAAGTTTTCTTAAGAAATAAGACTGTTAAACTTTGTGTTATCTAAAGGAATATCATACCATTACACAGCAGTGCCAGTATTTAAAGTGGAAGGTAGGTTCTCTTTCTCTGTTTATCTCAAGTGACACAAGGCAAAACTTGCCTTTTTAACTTTTTAAGTATGGAGCCAATAATATAATGAAATTCATTGTACCCAGAATCCAGTTCGAACATTTAAAGAGCATTGTCATTCTTGGTTCACCTGTCCATCACCACACTATTTTGGGTTAGGAGTGACACCCGTCCCCTCAATTTTTTTATTGTGGTCCAAATACACATAACATAAAATTTATCACCTTATCATTTTTAAGTGTATCAGTGGTCTTAAATAATGGTGTGCAGCTATCACCACCATCTCCAGAACTCTTTTCATTTTGTAAAACGAACTCTATACCCATTAAAAGCTAACTCCCCATTCTCCCCTTCCCCCAATCCCTGGCAACCACTGTTTTGTCTCTATGAATTCGACTACAAGTAGCTCATGTAAGTGGATCCCTATAGTATTTGTCTTTTTATGAGTGGCTTATTTCACTTCAGCTAATGTCCTCAAGGTTTATCACCATTGTAGCGTATGTTAGAATTTTACTCCTTTTAAAGGCTGAATAATAATCAATTGTATGTATGTACAGGTAGCCTCCTGCATCCATATGTTCTGCATTCATGGATTCAACCAACTGCAGATTGAAAATATTTGGGGGAAAAAATTACATCTGTACTAAACATGTACAGGCTTTTTTTTCCTTGTCATTCCTTAAACAATACAGTATAACTGTTTACATAGTATTTACATTGTAGAGATGACTTAAAGTAGATGGAAAGATGTGCATATAGGTTATATGCAGATGCTATGACATTTTATATCAGGGACTGCAGCTTGAGGTAAAAAAAAAGTCTTTGGGAGGTCCTGGAATCAATCCCCCACTGATACTGAGGGGTGACTGTATATAACACATTTTCTTTATCCATTCATCTGTGATGGACATTTGAGTTGTTTCCATGCTTCAGCTAATGTGAATAATGCTGTTATGAATATGGGTATAGAAATATCTCTTCAAGACCCTGCTTTCATTTTTGGGGGGTATATATGCAGAAGTGGAATTGCTGGATTATATGGTAAATCTATGTTTAAATATTTGAGGAACCGCAGAACTGTTTTCCACAGCAGGTGTACCATTTTACATTCCCACCAGCTGCACTAGGGTTCCAATTACTCTACATCCTCACCAACACATAGTTTCTGATTTTTTTTTTTTTTGAAGATGACTGGTTAAAGGGATCTTAACCCTTAACTTGGTGTTGTCAGCACCATGCTCTCCCAAGTGAGCCACGGGCTGGCCCCTGATTTCTTTTCTTTTTTTTTTTTTTTAATATTATCCATCACAGTGGGCATGAGGTGGTATCTTACTGTAGTTTTGATTTACATTTCTCTATTGATTAGTGATGTTGAGCATTTTTTCATGTACTTATATTAGCCATTTGTATATCTTTGGAGAAATGACAAAGTCCTTTGCCCAGTTTTGAACCTGTGTTTTTGTTGCTGAGTTTTAAGAGTAACCTATGTATTCTGGGTATCAATCTCTTATCAGATATATGATTTGCAGTACTTTCTCCCATTCTGGGGGTTGACTTTTTATTCTGTTGATAATATCTTTTGATGCGCACAACATTTAAAATTTTTCATGAAGTTCAATTTGTCTATTTCTTGTTGCCTATGCCTTTGGTGTCACATCTAAATTCCAGGTATCATAACATTTTACCAGTCCATTCTTTCGAGTATGTTAGAGTGATGGCTCTTGATGCCCATACCCAGTACATATAACCGTTGCCTCCTTGAAAGTAGTTATTCAGAATGCTTAGTTTAGTGGAATTCTCTTTGATTTGCCTTCAAAGGCTTCTAACTCTAAATCCTAACTTTTTGAGGTGAACCTTTGATTTTTGTAATGGTCTAAAGTCATTTGAAGCCAAATCTGTTGAAACAAGATAGATTGATATGAGTTGTTTGTTGGTCAAAGTGTTCATTTAAACTGTGTTGATTTAATTATATATAGTAAATTTGACTTAACACATAGAGAGGCAGGGGAGGTGAGTAAGATTTATCCTTGGTGATTGGAGAAAGTGAGTCAATTTGAAAGCTATCCTTGGGTCCGTAAGAGAAGTTAAGGATCAAATGTAAAAAGTTTTAATGTGTTATAAAATACAGTACAGGGATAGCACTGCAGATAGCATGTAAGAGCCCTAAGTTGACTACTTTAGGAGAACAATTACTCCTTTACATTCTGAAATCCTTTCTTGTTAATCATCGGGGTACCTTTTCTGTGAATGGAGAAGCTACTAATATAAAATACCCCTTAGGCAACTCTAGGCTATTACGTGAACTTTAAAAAATGTTTCTCTACTGTCTCCACAGGTGGCAGATTATTGGCATAGGTGTTTTGATTCACTAGATTTGGACTGGGCCTTGGAATAAAAAAATTTTCTCAACTCACTAGGTGGTTCTTTTTTTTTTTCCTTTTTGTCTTTTTTCGTGACTGGCAACGGATCGCAACCCTCAGTGTCGC